AAATGCTAGCATATATATATATAATGAATATACGTGATGAGCTAGCATATGTGATAAATACATGATAAGCTAGCATACGTGATGAATATGCGATAAGTTAGCATATGATTATAAATATGTGAAGTATGACTTGAACTGATATATATATATATATATATATATATATATATATATGTATGTATATTTTTATATTCTAATTCTGGAAATTTTACAGGCACTATAACGAGAGGTTATAGAAATTATATGGTTTCGATTAAAATTTTATCTACTGGGTCACTCACCTTTGTTTTATCTTCACCCTCCAGGTCTTCTTAGCTGAGTTTCCTTATCGTCGACATGGCAATTCTTAGTATTGGAGATTAATTCGAGGGTACGATTCTTAATTCACTCTTCTGTACTTGCGTATGCTCTAACGTCACGTGTGAAGTGGGTTCATTCCTGCTCACCAGTGCACTCTGGTATTTAGGCACTCTTAGGTTTAAATTTATTCACAATATCTCCACATCATCACACTTTATGGCTTCGTCACCTTCCAGGTGTCGGCCAGCATAGCTCGATTCGGAGTCATAGTGGAACTTCCAGGTCGGGGTGTGTCAACACGGGTACTACGCTATTTATTAAACTCACTATTTATGAAACTGACATGGATACTACACTATTTATTAAACTGACTCACTATTTATGAAATTGATACAGGTAATACACTATTTATCAAACTAACTGACTATTTATGAAACTAACACATGTACTACACTATATATTAAACTCACTATTTATGAAACTGACACGGATACTACACTATTTATTAAACTGACTGACTATTCATGAAACTGACACAGGTACTACACTATTTATTAAACTCACTATTTATGAAACTGACATGGGTACTACATTATTTATTAAACTGACTGACTATTTATGAAACTGACACAGATACTACACTATTATTAAATTGACTGACTATTGATGAAAATGACTACTGACTATTTTTATAAATTGGAGTTCATGCATGTTTGTGTGCCCTTCTAATTAATAGAGGATAATGCTAAAGAAAATCAAATTTTAAACTAAATTTGCAAATCAAATTATAAGCACATTAATTAACACTTAAATAATAATTCAATTATCAACATCAACATCATTTGATTTACAAAATTTGGTAAAAATTTGGTCTCGATAATATTAACAAATAGAGAACGAGTGTGTGTTAATAATTGATTGGCACATATATAATTAAGCATGCATGGTAAATAAGGAAGAAGATCAACTTGGGGGTCGAAGTACCAATCAGTGACAACCAACAGTACTTAAATCAAAGATAAATATTAGTTGTCGCTTCCAAATTCAACTTCAACTTCAACTTCAAGAAGTACATCTAAAGAAGCTTAGTTAAAAGAATTTAGTTTTTTATTTTTCTTATTTTGTTTATATTATATTGTTATTCAAAAGAAGATTGAGGGAAGGGGATGTGGAACAAAGAGATGGTGTCCGTCTCACAGACACTCATCAGCCATGCATGGCACCTGCATGTACGTAATTGACTTTTCGATTAAACTCTGCATGCATGTGCAGAGTTTAATAATTTATTAACTTTTCGATGAACAAATGAAAAGCCCAAATCCCATCTCTCTCTACTGTACTTAATTGACTTTTACATCAATTGGGTTCGTTTTACTCGCTTTTTTTTTTTTTGAAGTGCCAAAAGAAATTGTTATCGGTTGGAAGAAAGCCAATACCACAATATCAATGTCTGAACCTTTCAACTCACAGCGTGATAGACAATTACCTTTTAAGAATAACATTGACAGTGTTACTAATCCTCTTCTTTAGGGAAGGAAGTCTATGAGGATCACATAAAGCTTGGGGAGACCGGACCCTTTGAAAGCCCAAGGCGAACTGATGAGTAGATTTTATATTATATATTTTACCCTAATCTTAGTATATTTTGGTTAATATATTGGAAGAATTTTGATACTTTGAATTGTATTTTCAATATAGGACTTCCGACTTCCTCTGGAGCAAAACAGGATCAAATGGACGAATTTTGGAGTAATTCCAGTTGGAGGACGTTCGTGAGTCACTTAGCTTGATCGTATCAAAATTTGGGATTTTTCCACCAAGCGGTTATTTTCTGGCGATGAAATAAAGAAGCAATGCACAATGCTGGAAAATGACGTTTTTGGGCTTAAATGACGTTTTTGGAGCCCAAGATGACCTCGGATGGGTTCGTGGCCTTCTGAAAAAGTGTTCAGAATATTCCAAACATTAAATCCAGCTATATTGGGCCAGTTTTGGAGCAGCTTATGGACCAAAACGTGGCTGTTCAGATTTTAGACGAATTTTACTATTTTTATTTAGGGTTTTTATTAATTTTAGTTTGCTAGGGTTTGTGTGGTGGCTTAGCAAATATATTGCTTAGCCGTCTACAGTTTTTAGGTACGCTTTATTTTATGCAATATTGGAGACAGAGAGAAGTGCTAGGGTTTTAAAGATTTTTTACTTGAAGGTGTTTTCAATCATTTTCTTAAGAGATATTTCTATGATTTCAATTATGAATATGCGGAACTAATTTCTTTTGCTAGGGCGAAGCCTTGAGCCTTAGCATGAATATGTGATTTTTATTTAATTGCTTATGATTGATTACATGCGTACTTTGAATTGTTAATCACCAGGATAAAAACTATCTAATTGTCGTAATGCCTGATCACCATTAGGATCTTTAGAGAAGTAATTTGATGCAATTTTGGTAGGAAGGTTCTCTGAAATTGACGCTAGCTTCTTGTGATTAATAATTGTAATTTCTCTTAGGATGAATATCACGTCTTAAGGATTGCATGGTTTTTCAAAGGATTTTCATAAAGCATAATGAGTCTTTCATGTTTAGATTTGATCCGAACGTCCGGACGGGTTGCATGTTAGATATACGTTCTATGTTGGAGGTTCCAAGTAGAATATGAATTAAGAAAATCTAACCTTCAAAGTGGCATGTATAGATTATAAGTAATTGGTGAAAATTCATAGGATTGCTAGGTGATGGTGGAGCCCTAGTGCTTTCTTAATTTGATTCTTCCAAAACTGTTTTCTTTTCCCTCTGTTTTAATATTGCAGTTATCTTATCTTTAATAGTTAAATTCGTTTTCAATTTAAGTAGGTTATAAAATCAATCATCTAAATTTCTACATTACAATAATTAAATAGAATCTGATTAGTTTCGAATTATTTAATAATCCATGTGGAGACGACCTTGCGAGATCCGTTTATACTACAATAACCTTGTGATTCTTGCAAGTAAAATAGGAGATTTAAGCCCGTTCACATGAGTAGTAAAAATCCCTATCACGAACTTCCATTGCATGATGCGTCCACAGGCTGGAAGGTTTTAGATTCCCAGGGGATCATTTAGGTAATCCTCAAAGCCAAATTCATCCAATCTTCCAGTCATAGCTTCCAAACCCATCATTGAAGAAGGAATTAGTATGGAAGGCCTCTGGAATCGAGAAGGGAATCCATCTTCAGTGGAAACGCATTTCCATAAGTGTACCCTAAGATTTTCGTGTTTATCTGCTCTTGGGTTAACTTTGTGGATTCCAAAGCAGATTCGAGAAGGTAAGCGCTAACGAGGTCGCTCTTGACGCTGTGAAGTCTGAACCGAAGGGCGTCGTTTTGGATTCCTCTGATTTGGTGCTCCGTCGTCTTCGATGCCTCCATTTTGCTTTATCTGTTTCTTCATTTCCTCCTTCTTCATGTGTCTTTCATCTCGATTTGAATACCAAACACATTAATTTTTGTCTAGTGGATTAATGAGGTAATGGCATACTTGTAAATAAAATGAAGTTTATTTGTAACAGAATTAGATGACAGAATGGGTTCCGTTAGGGGCAAGGCTAGGAAAAAAAATTATTTCGTTTTGGGCTTTTGATTCAGCCCATGTGTGTTCAATGTTTATGAAGCTTGATATAGATTAGTCTTGTCCTTATGATTAAATATGAAGCCCTTTTGGTTAAAGAAAAGTGTAGGATGGTTTTTGGTTAAATTAAACTTAGTCCAAACCCTTTTCATTAAAACTCCCATAATTTTTTTCTAGTGGATTAATGAGGGAGTGGCATACTTGTAAATAAAATGAAGTTCATTTGTAACAAAATTAGACGACAGAATGGGTTCCGTTAAGGGCAAGGCCTGGAAAAAAAATATTTCTTTTTGGGCTTTTGATTCAACCCATGTGTGTTCAATGTTTGTAAGGCCTGGTATAGATTAATCTTGTTCTTATGATTAAATATGAAACCCTTTTGGTTAAAGAAAAGTGTAGGATGATTTTTGGTTAAATTAAACTTAGTCCAAACATTTTTCATTAAAACTCCCTTAAAAAAACATGTAAATTGAGTAATTTTAAAATCTTTAGAGCATATGAGAAAATTAAAACCTCGTAACTCATTCAAAAACCACCTCAAACCAAAAAAATGTCTCTCCCTCTCTGTTTTTATGTAAGCTTTTGCATCATATTGTTTCTTTTCTTTTTATTGTATGCATGGTATTGCTTGGGATTCTTGTTTTTAATGACTCACAATGTCTTGGATTTTGTCTAAAATTTATGTTTTAGATTACAAATTTGATCTTCTTAGCATTATATATACTAGCATATGAGCACACATAAAAGTGTGTGAATTTTTTTTTTTTTGAAATAGAAGGACAGAGGAAGAGAGTGATAAAAAATGTGGAAGTGAGAAGTTTTTATTTATTTATTAGAGATATGTTAGAATTACATGTAGATGAGGCTTTAAAAAAAAACAACAAAATTGGATTGTGTGAAATTATATTTCTACATAATATTTCTTATTCATGTTCTATTTGAATGAGAGGGTTAAACTGATAATTTCATAAAATTTTGGTTAACAATGAGTGTTTTATTAATTAGTAAAGATAAAAAAAAAAAAAAAAAAAACTTCATATATAAAACAAAAAAACAAAACAAAACAATCGCACATATTTGTGTGTGGGCGTAGACCAGTGATAATTACAAACACACGAAACACCTTTGACCAAACGAATGAAACAAGAGGCAAAAATGCATCTACTCTTTCGGCGCTCAGCAAAAACCGCCAGAGCCGCCACTCGCTACCTCGCGCTCCCGCCAAAAACCCCATCCTCTTCCTCCTCCTTCTTCCACTCCTCCCAACCCCGTCACCAAACGCCCGATATCGGCTCTCCTTCCAGAGTCCAAAAGCTCATCGCCTCCCAATCCGACCCTCTCCTCGCCAAAGAAATCTTCGACTACGCCGCCCGCCACCCAAATTTCCGCCACTCCTACGCCTCCTACTTCACTATCATTCTCAAGCTCGGTCGGTCCAAGTACTTCTCCCTCGTCGACGACCTCCTCCTCCGCCTCAAGTCCCAAAACTACACCGTCTCCCCCGCCCTCTTTTCCCACCTGATCAAAATCTACGGCGAAGCCAATCTGCCCCAGAAAGCCCTCCGAGTGTTCTATACCATGATGGAGTTCGATTGCAGGCCTTCCGTCAAACACCTGAACCGCATTCTTCAGATTCTCGTTTCTCACCGGAACTTTCTCCGGCCGGCGTTCGACGTCTTCAAAGACGCTCACCGTCACGGGGTGATGCCCAATACGGAATCCTACAATATACTGATGCGTGCATTTTGTTTGAACGGGGATATCAGCATTGCCTACCAACTGTTCAACAAAATGTTTGAGAGAGACCTTGTGCCGGATGTGCATTCGTATCGGATTCTGATGCAGGGGTTGTGTAGGAAGGGGCAGGTGAATACCGCGGTCGATTTCTTGGAGGATATGCTGAACAAAGGGTTCGTGCCCGATACGCTGAGCTACACCACTTTGTTGAATAGTTTGTGTAGGAAGAAGCAGCTTCGTGAGGCGTATAAGCTACTTTGTAGGATGAAGGTGAAGGGGTGCAATCCTGATATTGTGCATTATAACACTGTTATATTGGGATTATGTCGAGAAGGGCGCCCGGCGGATGCTTGTAAAGTTCTCGAGGATATGGCATCGAATGGGTGCTTGCCAAATTTGGTATCTTATCGGACTTTGGTTAGCGGGTTATGCGATCATGGGATGCTTGATGAGGCTAAGAGTTATATGGAGACAATGGTGTCAAAGGGGTTCTCACCGCATTTCTCGGTCATTCATGCTTTGGTTAAGGGGTTCTGCAATGTGGGTAGGGTTGAGGAAGCTTGTGGAGTTTTGGAGGAGGTGTTAAAGCACGGAGAGGTTCCTCATACGGATACTTGGATTACGGTGGTTCCTGGGATATGCGAAGAGATTGAGCTGGTGAGAATGGAGGAAATGCTGAGAGAGGTAATGAAGGTGGAAATTAGGCCAAACACTAGAATTGTGGAGGCAGCGTTTGGTTTGGAGGATTACTTGATCAAGAAGATACAGGCTAAGCCTAGGAGAGGTTATTAAATTCTTTACGGCATGTGTTCCTGGTTTTTATAACTCCCTGTAGGCTCTGGCATGAGAGATCTGTTAGATTTTGGTCAAGCTACTAGCTCCACTTTCAGTATTTAGCTAANGCTCTTC